ATTCAGGATCTGACACAGACTGATTCATGTCCTACACAGTTCTTACAAGTTCATAGAAATTTCTGTTCAATGAGAACCAAGTATTTGAGTTGATGATTGTAATTTTTATACAGTTGTTGTGATTTGTATTTTAACAATTTTTTGATTAATTTTTGTTTCTGTTACAATATTATACTTTAATGTATAATATTGTAACGGAAACAAAACATAAAAAAATTGCTCTCTTTTTTTTTTTATTCGGGCTACCTAAATTTATTTTGGGCTACCAAAAACTGAAGAGTGCCCGCTCAAAGGGCTACCAGAGATTTTGAAATTTTGCGAGCCTTGCTTAAGTTGCTAGAAATCACAGTCAGCCTTACAACCTCCCAGAAATGCTTTATTTAAGGCCCACTTGTAGATGAAATAGTTGACTAATAGGCTTTCAGCCCAGTGCTGGCTGTTGGTCCTGCTGCTTGGCTCCCCATTATGGTCTCTTTTCCTTTTTGCCCCTTACAGTGTTAACCTTCTGCATTTTTGTTTTTATAGGAAGTGGACGAATCTGACGAGGGGAGGGACGCAGATGACTTTGAGGTATTTGAACACTGTGGGATTGATTAGATTTAGTGATTAAGCCTGATTAGTTTGTCATTCTGTTTTGTGACTAACCTGAAGCACAGCGTTGGCGGCCACAACATGCAGCGATAGAGCATATTCACTAGATGGTGCTGTGGGTTCATGGATTTGAAGTACGCTATGAGTCACTGATGCATCTTCATGTGTGGCTTAAAGTGAAGAGGCGAACCAGCCGTGTTGATTCTGTAAAGCACACTACTTGGACCTTCACACCATACTAACCACACCTTTGTATGTGTTTTCAAACTGTATGAGCCAGACGGTGTGCCAGCTTCCTGCTGCACTGTTTGGCAGAGGATGTATAGCTTGACTGAGGCTTTGATTTACAACATTTCTGTGATGGCTGTCTGAGGGGATTTTGTGAGTTTTGCCTGTTGGTTATGCCACATCATGAAGTGATGGCAATGAAAGGACATTGCAGTATGGTAATGATAACTGTGGTTCATGATGTGGTTTCTCAGTGCTGCGTGTATCAACATGTAGAGCTTTATTGCCATGGAAGAGAAACATTTCCAGGAAAGTTAATGAAACATATTCTGTGTACTTTGTAGGGAAATACTTCACTTTCTTCTGTTGGGATGTGGTGCAAAATGAAAATTTAAAAAAATTTGCAGCTCTCGTTAACCCGTATTTTATTCACTATAGAACATAAGAATCCTATTCACACCATAAATGAAGACTGAGACCACCTCCTCCAAAGGGTCTCAGTGCAGTCGATTTGTTTTACTAGCGTGATTACCATGTTCACATCTGCACAAGTGAACTGAAGTAAGGCAGAAGAAAACCAGTTTGATTTAAATGGAGTAAACCTTCAGAGAGATTACAATGAATATCTGACCATTTAAAGTATATTCATATAATCTGGAGAATGTCTGTGTGCAAGGGACAGTTTTTATTTTACAAAGCATCCCAACTACTTTGGAAACGTGCCCATGTGTTTAGTAGTGTTATTTAAACCTGCTGCAAATACCTTTTGTGAGCAGTTGCATTAAAAACAGAGGTTGTCGTGTAATTTTGGCTACGTTGGGAGAGAGAGTTTAAAGCCTCGATGTGTTTTCTTGCTTTTGTTACCATCACTAAGATATTGTTATAAAGCAATAGGATACTACTCATTTTGGTTTTGCTAGAAATTCTGTGGTGAAATCTAGCAGCAGTGTAGTTTGCATAAGCAGATGTTAGGTCAACAGGCTAATATTTGGGTTTAGATTTAGAAACCCAAAAAGAGAGTGAATGTTTATATTAGCTTTCACTTTGTCCTCAAACTTATTGTCGTTTGCAGTTGGCTTATCTGTGAATGGCAGCTGTTAGGTGTTGGTGTGATACGTGTCTTAATTGTGAGTGCGCAGTGCCTCATTTAACCACAAAGACTGTTGTGGTCGATAAGAACTGTGGTTGGATATATCCAAGTTCTCCTTTAATGTTTTAGATTGTACTGTGATCTAGTCTGAGATCTTAAGAAAACATTGAGTTTACACATTCGGGCATGGGGAACTGTCTGCTGGAATGGAGATAAAGGGGATAATCTGTAGTGTGAGGCCTTTGTATTGTTGATAAAGTTGATAGTTCTTTTTAGATCTGTGATAGCTGTGCAGCAGAGCCCCCTACTACAGGAGAACGTTTCCTTGAAGAGCGTGCATCAGAGTCCCTATCGCTTAATTTCAAAGCACTGTTTCTGTTAGTTGGTGATCAGCTGAGATATTGAGAAGAGGGGATCTGTTATGTTTCCAGTAATGCTTATTTAATAATTGCCTGGAAGTTTTAATTTTCAGTAAAATGGATTGTTCTATAATCTTGCTCATAATTTTTAAGCTTGCTGGAGGATATGTTAATTAAAAAAAAAAAATTAGACAAACTAAATGTCATAAGTGACAGAGCTCTGAAATATTTAGAGATATTATTGTCCAACATATCTGAGAGTAGTGCTCTGAATTTTGGGATCCTCACCTTCTAGTACCATCTGGTGAAAAAGTCAGTTTTGTTTTTATGTGGTGTGACCAATTTATTTCATTTACACATTTTTTAACCACTATCTCGACTATAATTCTCATTCTGTTACCCAAAATCTATGTGGTTTTATAAATCCAGGCAATTCTCTCCAGTGTTTCGTTTTTCCCAGTTTAACATGCTAACAAGTAGCACTAAGGTGTTAAGTGTTCCTTTGAGGTTAATGATCCTGGAGCTTGAACACTAAGGAAGGAGAAAAGCACTTGGCTGGAAAGGATGTGTAGCAGGTTAGGGTGATCAAGGATACCGATGGAAATGTCATAAACAAAAGAAGAGAGTGTATTGAGAAGGTGAAAAGAGTACTTTGAGGATCTCATGAATGGAAAAAAATGAGAGAGCAGATGGAGGACAGTTAGTGAATCAAGGTGTGCAGAGGATTAGCAAGGAGGAGGTGAGGCCAGATACGAAGGGTCGAAAAGAGGTTGGCCCAGAAAAACGCTCTGAAGATAATGAACCATACCAGGAGTTGTTGAAGCTAGATTAAGGAGAGACGTGACAATCAGTCAGCAGCATTATGGCTTTTTTGCACTGCAGATGCAATGTTTCCTTCTGAGAGTGTTGAGAGTACAGATCAGAAGGAGCCTCACTGTCTTTGTAGGTCTAAAGAAAGTAAATGGTGGCGTTTGAAGAGAGAAACTGTGATACTGCATGTAAAAGTGGAAGGGAAGTGAGGGTGGTGCACGACATGTATGAGCAAGAAAGATGACAGATGAGCAGGTTTAAGAGAGCTGGAGGTACACTCTCAAGAGAAGAGGAATATTTTGGACAGAAGAATAACAGCAAGAGTAATGGGGAAGGTTTGAGATGGTGAGCTGTGTGGTTTGGACACAGTGACGCTGAAAAAAGAACCACAGAGATCATTCATGAATGTAGTGAAAGAAAGTTATGTGACACAAAAAGGATGCTGGTAATAGGATGAGATGGAGGCAGATGATCCACTGTTTCATCTTCTCAAGGGAGCAGCCCAAAGGAGAGGGAAACAAAATAGTAGTAATAATAATAATAATAGTAATAATATTCCTGCTATTGTAGCAGTGCTGAATGAGTCTGTTATAAGAGGGCAGCCCACATGCTAAAATGCTGCTGCTGCAGAGGCCTGAGTTCAAATCCACTTGGATACCATTTTCTGTGGATCTTCCACACACAGAACTGTTCCTGGTGAGAAACAGACTGAACCTCATGTTCAGTGGAGTGCTCCTTTTAACGAGGAAGCATATCGCTTTGTGTATACAGCTGATACAATTAAAGCAATCTGGTCAGTCTTAAATCGTTTTTTCCCAGTTTGCTGGATGTATACAAAACGCTAACAGCTGATATTTCATACAGCTGTCTCACAGAAATCCCATCAAGAAAGAAGAAAATGTAGAATTAGAAGTAACCCCCTTATGGTGTATTCAACACCATATTCTGTTATTATAATAATGTAGCATTGGCCTTTATTACACTGTTTCCAGTAATTAAAACTTAAATGAGTAGATACGTGATCAGCGTCCCTCCAGTGAATAATCTTTTGGTATATGTGTGGTTACAAGTCCGTGTTTACTCATGCCAGACAGATGGCTTGACGATGTGCAGTTAGCTGAAATTAGAAGGGCCTGTTGTTGATCTGAAAGGGTGGTAATATTTTTGGTGTGGCCTTGTGAGACGGCTAAATTTATATTCTCTGTACAAAAGTCCTCAAAAGCTGCTTACTGTGACCTTACTGTGAGGGCGAGCTAAAAGGGGAAGCCGTGCCAACTGGAGGATCAGTGAAGTGATGAGTGGGTTTTTTTTTTTTTTTTTAATTAATTCGTTTAATTTTAAGCTCTGTATCAAATAGTCTAATTTTTTTTTGCTGGGGTTCTTTGCTGTATTTACATGTCTTTCTGCCGTCCTCCCTCCTCCACCACCACCTTGTGATTTGGCCCACTTCAGGACAGTTCTTTGATGTGCCCGTGCAGTTGCTAGGTGACGGCATGATTCCTGTGAATAACAGTGCTGTTCTTTTGTGCTGAACCTGTGTTATGCCCACAATGCTGGCACAATAGGCGGCATATTTTAAGGGCTGTACAAGACTCCTCCTCCTGCTGAGCCAAGTCGTTCTCTGGAATCTTCTCTAAGATTTACAGTTCAGGCTTCTGTTACTGCTAAGAAACTGCTCTGTAGTGTGTGAAGTCTGCTTCTGGGTTCTGTGATTTTTAGGTTTCAGGTATACAGAGAATGAGCTTTTGTCTTTAGCTCTCTCTTTTTCATCTGTACAGTTTTCCAATTTCATTGCACAGCCATTGTACAATTTCATTGTACAATGGCTGTGCAATGACAATAAAGAGTTATCTAACACCTTTGATTAGATCATTCATCTCACCAACTAAACCCTAGCAGGAATCATGGTCTCATAATATCTATGACTGATGCTGCGTTTATTTCCCACCATCGAGCACTAATGATAAAAAGAGGCCTAAATGTCCCCTGTTTTTTCATTTTTCTGCCCTCCCACTCTCACCCCTTTTCTTGTGATTTCTAGATCCCAGAAGCAGAAAAAAAGGACCCCAAGGAGCTAGTTGGTGAGTATACGCATGAACTCGCACGTGCTCACGCAGAATATAGAGCAGCAATTAAAGGATTAAAGTAATCCTTGTGCTCAATCTTTAACTTTGAACAATAAACTGACCCTACACAGAAGTATTAGCCCAAGCCTGTGATATATTCCCCTCTGTTGTCCACAAGCTCTTAAAATGGACTTGATTTAATATAAAAATAAATAAATATATATATA